TAAAAAAGATGGTTCTTCAAGGGTTCTTTAGTAAAGACAGTGCTTCTGTATAGAACCACGAACACTCAAAGAACCATTTGCATGGTGAGATCGTTCTTCAGATTGATGGAGAATGTGTTGTATATGATTCTACATAGAACCTGTTAGAAAATGGTTCTATATAGCACCAAAAAGGTGTTCTTTTATTGTATACAAGATTAACACTGTAACTATAGCAGAACCCTTTTTGGTGCTCTGTGTTTCTTTGTGCTACTGAACTTTTAGTCTGTTAGTAAAAGAGTCACAGATGCTTCCAGACAGCCTGAACTAAAAGTCTGACAAATGCAGCAACAACAACTACACTCTTAGAAGATGGTTCTTCGAGGGTTCTTTAGTAAAGGCAATGCTTCTATATAGAACCATTAGTTCATGTTCTCATCTCAAACCAACAGATTGTGCACCTGACCTAGAGAATCATTTCAGATTGCATATTTAGTTTTTTTTGGAAGGAAAAAGTTGGAGTTTAAAGAGAGATGGTTCTTCAAAGGTGCTCAGGTCAAGTCAGTGGTTCTGTAGAGAACCATGAACACTCCAAGGACCATTTGCATGGTGAAATCATTCTTCAGATTGATGGAAAATGGGTCGTATATGATTCTGTATAGAACCTATTAGAAAATGGTTCTATATAGCACCAAAAAGGTGTTCTTTTATTGTATACAAATATGACATTGTATCTGTAGTAGAACCCTTTTCGGTGCTCTGTGTTCCTTTGTGCTGCTGAGTATTTAGTCTGTTAGTAAAAGAGTCACAGATGCTTCCAGACAGCCTGAACTGAAAGTCTGACAAATGCAGCAACAACAACTCCCTCACTACACTCTCATTGATTTTCACTAACATGCAGCTAAAACTTGACAACACCCTATAAGCAACTAAGTAAACACCCCAGACACCACGGCAACTGCCTAGAAACACCTTAGCAACCATCTGGGATACCATAAATACCACCTAGCAGTCCCCTCGAAACCACCTAGGATACCATAGCAACCGCCTAGCAACACTGTAGCAACCACCTGGGATACAATGCCAAACTCCTAGCACCACCATAGCAACCACCTATTCTACCTTAGCAACACCTTAGCAACCACCTTGGATACCTTAGCAACCACCTAGCAACCTAGCAGGTAGTGGGAACCATTAAGCTGACATGGTTGTGTGTGTATCAGTGTTGCTGGAGTTAACAATGTGTGGTCAGTGGTGGTCTCTTTTTATTGATAGTGTGGGGGGGGGCTAAAAACTGTACAGTAACTGATGAGGTATAGTCTGAAACTGTAAACAGCGCACCTTTATGGTGGGTGTTTCTGATAAAGTGGCCACTGAGTGTAGTCACAAGGTAGGTGGACAAAATAAAGTGAACACTGAGTGTATGATTGGTGTGGTCAGTGTGTGTTAGTCTGGAGGAGTGTGTGGGTGCGTTAGTGCCCCCCCCCCCACTTGACAGGGGATGTTTCATCCTGACCTACTGCCTGCGAGCTGAATTATTCAACCCACAACCTTTTTCTCTCTCTTTGAAATATAGAAATAGAAGGAAAGATTCGGCCTTAGAACTCAGCAGTTATTACCTGTTTTTCAGTTCAAATGACATAATTACTTTTGCTGCTTTTACATAATTGCAATGTTTGATTCTGACCTTTTTATGTTTGTTTCGATGACAAATATAATGTTTTTTCTTTCTGCAAAACTACACTGGGCACAGCAATAACTCATCAAATTCATATCATAATAAAATCTCCTCTCCTCCTCAGATGTGACGGATTGAAAGTTTAGAATCTGCACAGTTTGTCCACTCGTTTCAGGGAACTATGAGTCAGAAACATCAATATACGGCTACAGCCTGATTATTTCCGGTCTTCACTGTGAAAGAGTGACAGTGAATCAGTGAGTCTGCGCTGTGGTCTGTGTTCTGTGTTCTGGGTTCTGTGCCGTATTGTGTTGGTAATGAATCATGTTCCCGTATCTGAACATCGTTCCCATCTTTGACAGAGAACGTATCCGTCTCCTGCCTATCCGCTGCTGATTATTACCATGGCAACAGGAGTTTAGAGGGGAATGCTGCGTGTTGTGTTTATCAAGTACATTTGCCTCAAACCTCAGGTCAAAAGATCAGATCTCTCTGCTTTTCTCTCCATTATAGCTTCTATTTGGTTTACAGCAGAGTGGATTTCACCCATATACAGTTACATTACACCCATTTACACAGGTACACTACACCTATATCTACAGTTACACTACACCCATTTACACAGTTACACTACACCCATTTACAGTTACACTACACCCATTTACACAGTTACACTACACCTATATCTACAGTTACACTACACTCACTTACACAGTTACACTACACCCATTTACACAGTTACACTACACCCATTTACAGTTACACTACACCCATTTACAGTTACACTACACCTATATCTACAGTTACACTACACCCATTTACACAGGTACACTACACCTATATCTACAGTTACACTACACCCATTTACACAGTTACACTACACCCATTTACACAGTTACACTACACCCATTTACAGTTACACTACACCCATTTACAGTTACACTACACCCATTTGCATCGTTACACTACACGTTTCCATAATTACTCTACACCCCTTTTCAATAGTTACACAACACTCATTTCCATAGTTACGCTACACATCTCTATAATTGCACTAGAGGGGGTCAAATCCACTTTGCTGTAAACCAAATAGAAGCTATAATGGAGAGAAAAGCAGAGAGATCTGATCTTTTGACCTGAGGTTTGAGGCAAATGTACTTGATAAACACAACACGCAGCATTCCCCTCTAAACTGTTTACACTTACACTACACCTGTTTCCATAGTTACACAACACACGTTTACATAGTTACACTACACCCATTTCCACTGTTACACTACACCGATTTCTATAGTTATACTACACCCATTTCCCTAGTTACACATCTGTTTCCATAGTTACACTACACCTGTTTCCATAGCTACACTACTCCTGTTTCCATAGCTATACTACACTCATTTCCTAGTTATGCTACACACATTACCATAGTCACACTACACCCATTTTCATAGTGACACTACACCTGTTTTCATAGTTGCACTACACCCATTTCCAAGATTGCACTAAGCCCATTTCCATGGTTACACTACTGTTGGTCACCTCGATTCATCACAGTACCCACAGAAACTCATTTGGACCTGTGATTGGTTGGGCTGGTAGAGGCTCATTTGCATATTGCAGTGTTGTGAAGGCCAATATCGAAATTCATAACAGTAAACAAATGATATATTATGCAGCACTGTGTCACCCTCGGACGCGCTGCTGGTCAGAATATGACCTGTAGGTAATATAATACACTGTAATTCAGGCCTGTCTCAGCCTCAGTTATAGCAGCTCCATTTAAGCCCAGCCTAAATAGCTCCTGACCTGCACTGGTGGTGTTATTATTATAGATGAAGCTGGGGAAGGAGAGCTAATTGTGGCTTAGCCTCATAACTCACATCCACAGCACTGGCTAAGAGCGCTTTATACTTCATACATACTCAGAGTTGGACTGTTTGTCGTTATTGGATTAATGCAGTGTTTATGGTCTGCTTGGCTACTTTTGTGCTTTGAATAAGTCGTGTTCTTAAATAAAGGCAATGGTTCTATATAGAACCATGAACACTCAAAGAACCATTTGCATGCTTAAATGGCTCTTTGCATGGTAAAATTGTTCTTCAGATGCTGTATGTAGAACTTTTTTGAAAACTGTTCTTTATAGCACCAAAAAGGGTTCCTCTATTTCATACAAGCTTGACATTGTAACTATAGCAGAACCCTTTTTGGTGCTCTATGTTCCTTTGTGCTACTGAGCTTTTAGTCTGTTAGTAAAAGCATCACAGATGTTTCCAGGCAGCCTGAACTGAAAGTCTGACGAGTGCAGCAACAAAAAGATGGTTCTTCAAGTGTTCTTTAGTAAAGGCAATGGTTCTATATAGAACCATTTGCAAGCTTAATGGCAAAATGGTTTTTCTGATTGATGGAGAATGGTTTGTATATGGTTCTATATAGCACCAAAAAGGGTTCTGCTGTTACAAGCATGACATCGTAACAATAGCAGAACCCTTTTGGGTGCTAGATTGAACTCAAATTCAAAATAGGTTCTGTGTGGAACCATATATAACACATTCTCTAACAATCTAAGGGCCATTTCACCATGGAAAGAACCATTTGAGCATGAAATGAGCTTATGGTTCTAAACAGAACCAATGTCGTTACTGAAGAACCGTTAAAGAACCGTCTTTTTAAGTGTGCAGGGAGTTGATTCAGTCACCGGATGTTGAAGCGGCAGGTTTTGACGTCTAATAAGGAAGAGATTTTAGCAGCAAAAGCTGCCCCTTCAGATAAGCTAAATGCTAAATGCTAATGCTAAAGCTAACACTGGAGCTAATCAGAGTGATGCTGGACGCTGGAGTCGTCTCATGAGTTGGTCTATTAAAGGGCCAGTGTCCAACTCTTGTGATGCAAAGAACCCTTTAATCATTGAGTGTTCATGGGTCTATATAGAACCATTTTTTTTTTACTAAAGAACCCTTGAAGAACCATCTTTTTTGAGTGTGTAGCAGAAATTGGAATTACCACAGACACTGTAACAGTAGAAGAGCCGTTCGGGATGCTATATAGAACCCTTTTGAAAAAGGTTTGATGTAGAACCATCTACAGCACATTTTTCATCAGTCTAAAGAACTCTTTCATGATGCAAAGAACCTGTAATCATGCAAAGGGTTCTTTGAATGCTTATGGTATATAGAACCATTTTCTGTACAATAGAACCCTTGAAGAACCATCTTTTTTAAGAGTGTATGAGTCAGAAATGGTTAATATAAAGTGACAGATTACTTTTATTAACATTGGCCTCTCTCTCTCTCTCTCTCTCTCTCTCTCTCTCTCTCTCTCTCTCTCTCTCTCTCTCTCTCTCCAGGTGTCCGTGGTTATCTAATGCTATCTCTCCTGCTGTTCCTCTCTATCATGGCGTGGTTTTCCTCTTCGTTCTGGCCAACTTCAGCATGGCCACCTTCATGGACCCCGGAGTTTTCCCCAGAGGTCAGTCACTTTTCCCTACAGTTCAAATCTTCCTTCGGCTTTACATGTAAAGGGTCCACATTTCCTGCATCTTCCTTATCTCTCTCTCTCTCTCTCTCTCTCTTTCTTTCTCTCTCTCTCTCTCTCTCTCTCTGTCCCTGACTCTCTTTCTCTCTTTCTTTCTCTCTCTCTCTCCTGTCTCTGTCTCTCACTCTCTCTCTTTCTCTCTCTCTCTCTCTGTCTCTCTCTGTCTCTGTCTCTCTCTCTCTATCTCTCTTTCTTTCTCTCTCTCTCTCGCTCTCTGTCTCTGACTCTCTCTCTCTCTTTCTTTCTCTCTCTCTCTCTGTCTCTGTCTCTCACTCTCTCTCTGTCTCTGTCTCTCACTCTCTCTGTCTCTGTCTCTCACTCTCTCTTTCTCTCGCTCTTTCTTTCTCTGTCTTTCTCTCTGTCTCTCGCTCTCTTTCTCTGTCTCTGTCTCTCTCTCTCTTTCTCTCTGTCTCTCGCTCTCTTTCTCTCTCTCTCTCTCTCTGTCTCTGTCTCGCACACTCTCTTTCTCTCACTCTCTTTCTTTCTCTCTCTCTCTGTCTCTGTCTCTCACTTTCTCTTTCTCTCTCTCTCTCTGTCTTTGTCTCTCACTCTCTTTCTCTCTCTGTCTCTCGCTTCTCTCGCTCTCTCTTTCTCTCTCTGTCTCACTCTCTTTCTCTCTCTCTTTCTTTCTCTCTCTGTCTCTGTCTCTCTCTCTTTCTCTCTCTGTCTCTCGCTCTCTTTCTCTCTCTGTCTCTGTCTCGCACTCTCTCTTTCTCTCACTCTTTCTCTCTCTCTCTGTCTCTGTCTCACCCACCCCTAATTCTTTCTCTCTCTGTCTCTCTGTCTCTGTCTCTCACTCTTTCTTTCTCTCTCTCTGTCTCTCGCTCTTTCTCTCTCTCTGTCTCTCGCTTCTCTCGCTCTCTTTCTCTCTCTCTGTCTCTGTCTCGCACTCTCTCTTTCTCGCACTCTCTCTTTCTCTCTCTCTGTCTCTCGCTTCTCTCGCTCTCTTTCTCTTTCTCTCTGTCTCTCGCTCTCTTTCTCTCTCTCTTTCTCTCTCTCTCTCTGTCTCTGTCTCGCACTCTCTCTTTCTCTCACTTGCTCTTTTCTCTCTCTTTCTCTTCTCTCTTGCTTTCTCGTTCTCTCTATCTTGCACTTTTTCATTCTCAAATTGTCAAATTTTCTTTCTGTCTCTGTCACTCTCATTCTCACACTTTCTCTCCTCTCTCTCCCTCTCTCTCTTCCCCCTCTTTGTCTCACATTCTCTTTTCTTTCTCTCTCTCTGTCTCACTCTCTCTCTCTCTCTCTCTCTCTCTCTCTCAGCGAGTGAGGATGAAGATAAGGATGATGATTTCAGAGCTCCTCTCTATAAGAACGTGGAGGTGAAGGGGGTCCAGGTGCGGATGAAGTGGTGCTCCACCTGTCACTTCTACAGACCACCGCGCTGCTCCCACTGCAGCGTGTGTGACAACTGTGTCGAGGTGAGACGCTCGCTGGTTTCTCACATCAGTGGAAATCACATGATCTTCATGTTCTTCATCTGCATGCAGTCGTGCGGAGAATACCTGTGGCCTCCGTGCGACGATCAGTGAACGTAATGCGGAACCATATTTCAAAAGCACGAGTTCCACCCGGAGACCTTAAGCTGTAAGCCGTTGACCAGTGAGCAACATGCTGTGCCAGAGAGCTTGTAGAGAGGAGAATGTCCGCTCTGTAATGCCTTCCGGGTTTCTCAAACGCTAGAGGGCGCTCCCGAGCAGTCCGAAATCATAGTTTATAAATGTTTAAACATTTTTAATGTAAAAGAATTCATTGATATCCTGAGCACAGAACGGGGGGGGGGAATTATTTATTATCACCCACCCCTAATTCTTCAGTGATATGAGCTGAAGTCAGATATTCACCAGATTCTTGTTCTTTTTTTCCTGTTACACCTTAAATGGAGCAGCAGATCTGATGCAATGATATGTCACAACTAATTAGGTTAATTGGCAACAGGTCAGTAACATGATTGGGTATAAAAAGAGATTCCCAGAGAGGCGGAGTCTTTCAGAAGTAAAGTTGTGGAGGGGTTCACCACTCTGTGACTGCACGGGCAAATACATCAACGCAAGAATAACGTTTCTCAACATAAAATAGACATTTTCATCATCTACGGTGCATAATATGATTAAAAGATTCAGAGAATTCAGAGAAATCTCTGTATGCAAAGGACAAGGCCAAAAACCAGTACTGGCTGGTGGTGATTTTCAGGCCCTAAGGCAGCATTAAACACTGCATGGGCTCAGAAACCATTCTGAAAACCACAGTCTGTGAACACAGTTCATCACTGCATCCACAAATGCAAGTTAAAACTCTAAAACGCAAAGAAGAAACCACATATAAACAGGATCCAGAAACGCTGCCGCCTTCTCTGGGCCCGAGCTCATTTAAGTTGGACTGAGGGGAAGTGTAAAAGTGTACTGTGGACCAGAGAATCAAAATCTGAAATTCCTTTTGGAAATCATGGACACTATGTCCTCCGGGATAAAGACCATTCAGCTTGTTATCAGTACACAGTTCAAAAGCCAGTATTCATGATGTTGTTATTTTGTTTTTTAGACTGCCACAACAGTTTTCCAGACAAAAAATTAGCTTCTGCTATGGATCGGGTCTTTAATGATTGGCATGAAAAGAGCATCGGTAGATTTGCAGATCTATACATTGATGGAGTCTTTGCTTCTTTTTCTGATCTTTCAGTCAAGTTTCAATTATCACCTTCTTTGTTTTACAGATACCTTCAAATTGAGAATTTTATGCGTAATCAGTGCCTTTATTTTCCTTCCCTGACACCAAAAACTCCCCTAGAAGATATTCTTTAAGTACCCCAGATAAATAAAGGTTTAATTTCAAGAATTTGTATTATAGATTCTTAAAAATTAAACCTTAAGGAGGCCTTGGCCTTCGCTTCCCGTCTGGCAAGGAGGAGGATATTGATTAATTGGAAATCCAGTGTCCGCCGGAGACCTCACAGTGGCTCTGCGCTCTTATGCTTTTCCTTAAATTAGAAAAGATTAAGTTTTTATCTAGAAAGGCTTCTGTAAAATTCCATAGAACTTGGGATCCCATGATTGTGTATTTCGAGAAGCTTAAATGTCTCCCCACTAACTAGCATCCCCCCCCCCCTACTATTTAAAGATTACTCTTTAGCTTAAAACAATCTACAGTCCCAATATCTGCATGTACAGTGATATGACCCTATTTGTATTTTGTTTATGTTTGGTTTCTTCCTAATTTAATAGTCAAATTATGTATAAGGTACAAATACTTACTGACCTAATCATTACTATGTGAATATATATTTAAGTTTGTTTTTTTCCTTCTCTAATATTGTTTTAGTTCTGGTTATGATGTAAAATGTGGAACATATACAAGTGTCTGTAATCCTGTATCTGCGTAGACCCACAAATAAAAATAATGTTGAAAAGCTTAATGAACCAGTGGCTCAGTGAAAGAAAAAAATCAGGTGCCCATGTTTTTTTTAAGTGCCAAATAATATGCAAACCATTAAGCTTTTCAACACTCACCTCAGGGCAGCTCTGTGACTTAAGTATGACGCTGTTGTCGGAAGAAAACCTCGTATCTCCATTTTTTTGTTTTTCAGTTTTTGACATAATCTGAAAATACCTGTTGCTCTTTACATTGTGTGTAAATTTCATAAAGAATGGACTAAAAGAAACGACCCAAAATTACTTGGAAAGACGTCTGGTTCCACTGACTTACATTAAAAGTAAGGTATGTTTTTTCCTTCTCCTGTAAAGTTACCGTTTTGGAGATACGAGGTTTCTTCTGTCTTCCACCATCCCTGATTGTTGTCATACATATTATTATTGTACATCTTAGACACATCCAGTTTGTTTTTAATGAACAAGATTTGGAAGGTGAATGTGGTGAAGGTTAGCTCTTCACGTTCTGCATGGAACCACTGAAAAAGATGACGCTCAATTTACGTTCTGTGAAAAACCCTGTTTGTGTTTAGTTGTTGTTTTTGTTTGCTTTTCCTAAACACTCTAATATTTATTTGTATGTTAATACAATGTTATTATACCTCCTACACCTGTTTCACTCTTTTATATGTTCTTTCTCTTTGCAGGATTTTGACCATCACTGTCCGTGGGTGAATAACTGTATCGGCCGCAGAAACTACCGCTACTTCTTCCTGTTCCTGCTGTCTCTGAGCGTCCACATGGTCGGGGTGTTCTCCTTCGGCCTGCTCTTCGTTTTACACCACCTGGAAACACTCAGCGCTCTGCACACCACCGTCACGTATCCTTCCACTGCTGAGCGCGAAAGTAGTCCCTCACACATACATACAAACAAAACAGTAGATAGATACAGTGAGAGGAAAGGAATATTCAGACACTTGTTTTTGTTATTTAATAAACTTCCAGTGCACATGTTCACATTTACACTCATACTCTCTGTTTGCACCTGGTCACTTCCTGTGTCTGGTATCTGGATTGTATCCTGATAAGATTTTAGCCACATGCATTTACACTTGGTGGTCAAATGCGTCTTCAGTTAGTCGGACTGAAATCTGATTGCTGTGTGGGACGGAATATGCAAATTTACTCATCACGAGGCAACCAATGACCAGCATCCTCCGTGATTATCTTCCTCTCAAACACGGATCATGAGCCCAGTGACGCACTGCATGGGGACGGGGTTTCGGTTGTACTGGGAGGGGTTTCGGTTGTACTGGGAGGAGGTTTGTGTGTATTGGGAGGGGTTTTGGTTGTACTCGGAGGGGTTTTGTTTGTATTAGGAGGGGTTTCGGTTGTAGTGGAAGGGGTTTCGGTTGTACTGGGAGGGGTTTCATTTATACTGGGGGGAGTTTCATTTGTATTGGGAGGGGCTTTGGTTGTACTTGGAGGAGTTTCTGCTGAACCAGGAGGGGTTTCGGCTGTATTGGGAGGGGTTTTGGTTGTGCTGTGAGGAGATTTGTTTGTATTGGGGGGGTCGGTTGTACTGGGAGGGGTTTTGTTTGTATTGGGATGGGTTTTGGTTGTAGTGGGAGGAGTTTTATTTGTGTTGGGATGGGTTTTGGTTGTAGTGGGAGGAGTTTTATTTGTGTTGGGAGGGGTTTTGGTTGTGCTGTGAGGAGTTTTGTTTGTATTGGGAGGGGTTTTGGTTGTAGTGGGAGGGGTTTCAGTTATACTGGAGGAGTTTTGTCTGTATTGGGATGGGTTTTGGTTGTACTGGGAGGAGTTTTATTTGTATTGGGAGGGGTTTCGGTTGTACTGGGAGGGGTTTTGATTGTACTGTATACTACTGATTCCACCCACAAAATAAACACTACAGAACGCAGCTAGTGTCATACAGAGTAATAATACAGTGTTCAAATATGTTATTTTAGGAAAATAATCAGGTCATTCTGCCGTCTTAAAGACTCAGAGAACCTAAGTCTGTTTTCCTTCTAATGAGGTTCAGCTTGTTCTCGCAGACAAACAGTAAACATGTACTAATTTTGTTACAGTGACCAATAAGTGACTGATATATTTCACCATGACAGACAGACTGATAGATAGATAGACAGCTAGATAAATAGAGTAATAGACAGACAGACAAATAGATAGGTAGACAGATGAATAGGTAGATAGACAGATAGGCAGACAGACAGACAGAGATAAATCAATAGACAGACAGACAGACAGACAGACAGATAGATAGATAGATAGATAGATAGATAGATAGCCAGATATATATATATATATATATATATATAGTAATAGACAGACAGATAGATAGACAGCCAGACAAATAGAGTAATAGACAGACAGACAGACAGACAGATAGGTAGACAGATGAACAGATAGACACACAAACCTTTGGACATGAAGGTTTTTCAGAAAATCAAACCAGAATAAATGTTATGAGGCAGGAATGAAGTACAGCAGATTTGTGTTGAGAGAGGCGGTGGAGTCTGCCTGTGTTCTTTAACTCTCTCTCTCCAGACTGGTGGTGATGTGTATAGCCGGTCTGTTCTTCATCCCCGTTATGGGTCTCACGGGGTTCCACATGGTGCTGGTGGCCAGAGGGCGCACTACTAATGAACAGGTGAGAACCCGATGTGAGTTACCCCCTCACATCCTCGGCAATCATTAACACACCAGGGCTCAGAAACCGAATAAACAACCAATCAGTTACTCTGAGCAGAACCGATACTCTGACCCCTCCGTTCTTGTGTTCTGATCCCAACATAGCGTTCATAAACCAGCGAGAACAAAATGAAAAGCTGGTTTATTCTGGTTTAATCTGTTATAATAACAGTTTAACAAAGTAAAATGAATAAGAATGTGATTAAAATACAATTTTAAAACAAAAAAGATGATCAGAACAAGCAAATATAATGATTAAAGGGCTCATATCCTACATTTTCTTACATTTATTAATATTTTTTCTTTCCCCTGAGGTCCAGGTGTGATTTTACGTGCCAAAAGTCATGATTCACGTTTACCTGATCATTTTTCAACCTGCCTTTATACCTTAGAATTAAATAGGCTGTGCCTTTAAGACTCATATATGCAAATGAGTTCTGGTCTGATTGGCTGTCCTGTGTTGAGTCTCATTAAAGAAAGCAGTTCGGGATGAAACACTCCTTATAACTTCGGCATGAGTGGGCGGGGCTAAACTGCTGTAGGCTGAGTTGCTGGATATATGTAAATCTGTGACATCACAAAAACAATGACCTTTGAACAGGTTGTGTTTTCGGTTTAGTTTCCATATATGGACTGTATGGACGGACGTGGACATTCTTAAAACATAAACAATAATTGAATACTATGTCCATTCTATCAGACATAAGGCTGGATGTGATCAGGCCCCCAGTACAGTCCTGTCCGGCCCGCAAAACGGTTTTGATTTTCTTATGATTAGCACGTTTCACAGTGCACTGCACTACACTCCCCAGCATGCACTGCAACGTAATGTGTGCTCCCACACCCCCAACAACAATCTATGGGACAGCGGCTACACCTCAGTTCTACACAGTTCCACACCAGTCACATCACCAAACACACTGGCTGTGTTTCAGCTGCAGTTCAACCAGCATAAACACTGTAAACACAAAAACTCAGCGGTTCAGAAACCGAACCAAAGAATGAATGAACTTGCAGCAGATAGCAGGTGTCCAGATCAAACACACAGGTCAGTTTAAAAGACCTACATTCTCCTGGGGACATTTAAAGAGTTTTAACAAATTTTTTGTACCTATTGTTTTATATATATATATATAGGCATATAGGTATGAAGTTGTAGACCTTGAAATATTACAGGAATACCTGAAATATTAAAAAGTTTATGTGTGTGTGTGTGTATAATATATATATATATATATATAGATATATATATATATATATATATAATTTTAATGTTTTAAGTACTCGTAATATGTCAAGGTCTACTACAAGTGCCTGTGCTGTTGAAACTTTGATGGATTTTGAATAAAATAACGGCCAGTTTGGATTATATTTATTTAAAAATGAACTAAAAATATAGGAGTTTTTTTTAAGTGGCCCTTTTAACATCAGTCAAACACCCCAAAACCAACTCTGGAGCAACTCTGATAAACTCCTCACTTTCACTTCATAATTTAAACCCATTTTTATACAATGTTGTTTTCGGTTTCTCTAACATGATTCTCTATTAATATTAAACCATCACTGCTTGCTTTGGTGAACTACAGCAGTTCAAACCAAATCAGAATCAGAATCAGAATTGAAATCTGAATCGGAATTCAAATAAGAATCTGAATGTAAATCTAATTCCTGCAGCTGGTTAATATCTGTGTGGTGTGAAATTGTGACATCTCTTCTTCCTCATTCTCTCCCTCTCACTCATCTCTCTCTCCTCTCTCTCTCACGTCTCTTTTATCTCTCTCACTCTCTCTGTGTCTCTCACTCACTCTGTCATCCTTTCTCTCTACTCTCTCTCTCTCTCAGGTGACGGGGAAGTTCCGTGGGGGAGTGAACCCTTTCACTCGAGGTTGCTGTGGCAACGTGAAGCACGTTCTCTGCAGTCCTTTAGCTCCGAGGTAGAGACACACACACACACACACACACACACACACACACACACTCACTCACTCACTCACTCACTCACTCACACACACTCTCTCTCGCTCTCTCTCTCTCTCTCTCTCTCTCTCTCTCTCTCGATCTCTCTATCTCTCTCTCTCTCTCTCTCTCTCTCTATCTCTCTCTCTCTCTCTCTCTCTCTCTCTCTCTCGCTCTCTCTCTCTCTCTCTCTCTCTCTCTCTCTGACCACACCTTCTATGAGTCATTCTACCGCAGACAGCTGCCTTTATTTTCTGTCTTTTACACTTTAACTGAATAAACCACCATACATTATTATACATTACTGCAGTTTACTGTACTGTTACTAGACATGCATTATACACTGTACATAACTATACATTCCTACACATTACCTTGCTTTACTATACATTATTAACCCTTACTGTATGTTACGGTGCATTATTATTCATACTTTACATGTATTATTATACATTACATTCCTGTGCATTCCTGTGCATTACTGTGCATTACTGTGCATTACCATACATAGCTGCATACCATACATACTATATTAAAATATACAAATATACAAAAAAGACCGTTCTTCAAGGGTCCTTTAATAATCCTATGTGTAATCATAATTTCTATATAGAAGAATAAAGAGAAAAAATGTCACGTAAAAATAAATTATGACTGTTTTTGGTACATAAAAAGTACTGAGCACAACAGAAATGTACACTCTTAAAAAAAAAGATGGTTCTTCTAGGGTTCTGTGCTAAGGACAGGGGTTCTCTATAGAACCATGAATACTCAAAGATGCTTAAAGTGGTTCTCTGTATGGTGAAATGGTCCTTAAGATTGACGAAGGTGGTGTTGTGTATGGTTCTATATAGAACCTTTTTTGAAAATGGTTTCATATAGCACCAAAAAGGGTTCTGCTGTTGGGTACAGGCTTGATATCATAACGGTAGAAGAGCCTTTTTGGTGCTATATAGGACCAGTCAGGGTTCTATTTAGAACCATTGCCTTTACTAAAGAGAACTCAAATAACTGCCTTTTTTAAGCGTGCACATTATATTACTATTCATTTCTATATTTTACTGTACATTACTGTACATTTCTACACTGTGTTTTCAGATGTGTGTAATGTTATCTAACTAGTATGTGGTGAAATGTAGAGTTTATTTGAATGTCATTGGTTAGTAGGGCTGAAATCTGATTGGCTGACCCATGTTAATAAATAAATAAATAATAAATATATACACATATGACCACAAACACCAGCTGAAATCTGTATTGTTGATTTTTTAAGCAATCTGGGCTGAAACCTGTAGACTGAAAAGGGGGGTGGGCGTATATATTTCGGTACCTGAGAATTTAAAAGAGCTTAATTTTTCCGGTATAAACCAAATGGACCTGATGAGCGAACGGGATATTTTGAAACTTTAAGGAGCCCATAGCTTTTTCTTCCTCTTCAGATCCTCCCACTTATAATGTATGTGATTTTATGCACCTAAAACATCACAATACATTTCTGCAGGCTTGTTTCCCAACCTCTCCTTATCCCTTAGGTCAGGGGTCGGCAAAAATCAAATCACCTTGGGAGCCACAAAATGTTTTATGTACATTTACCTTCTTGACTGTAAATATGTCTCAGTATGTGCTGATGTTCCAGTATACGATTAAAAAAATGGAATATAAACGAAAACGCAGACTTACTTCGCTCTGCTTTAAGCTTTAGCTCAGCCATAGCTGCTTTTCTCACATCTCCAGCAGGAAACTTTTCCAAAAGTAAAACAGGTTCTTTGAAAAAAGGCCCCTTACCGTTCGACTTTTTATGAGGCTGAAGCCGCTTCTCATTCGCCAGCTTCTTGTTCAAATTTTCCCATTTAAGGTGGGATGGGACAATTCAAACAAGAGACTGATTTCAGCTTCACAGCTTTTTAGTGTTTCAGTTTCTCACTGCAGATTAAACGTATCAGGAAACCAGCTGGAGTGATTATAAACACAAATAAGTCCATTAGTCTCTAAATTATCGATGATCATCTTAAATCTCTCTCTTTGCCATTTCGTTAGCTACTAGCTAGGCGAGATTGTCGTCTGTGTTGCTATGGTGACCAGCAGTCTGCGCTGATCTTCAGGGTTAAAGGGTGAATCAGCAGTTCTACATTAACTCCAGAGTTTAAGACCATTTATTGTTAAACTGTGTTGAACGATCAGCAGAGCTTTATTTTACTGTAAAGGAGGATTATTTTATTTTTACCTACTAATCTGATTCAGCTGTGGAGCCACAACAGGGCAGTAAAAGAGCCGCATGCGGCTCGGGAGCCACATCTTGTCGACCCCTGCCTTAGAACTAAACAGGCTGTTTGTGCTACTGTGCCTTTAAGACTGATATATGTAAATGAGGTTGGCTGACTCATTCAAAAAGCAGTCCAGACCAAAACACTCCTTATAACTTCAGCTGTGAGTGGGTGGGTCTAAACCGCTGTGGTCTGAATAGGTGGACATATGTAAATGTGTTAATATTCGTGACATCATAAAAGCAGAACAGGCTTATATTCCATGTATGAACTGTGTGGACTGGAGAGTGAATGTACAGTTTGAAAAAGCAGGCAGTTTTCCTTGATATGGGCCCTTTAACGATGTTTACATACTGTATCAAACTCTCTTATTCCGAGGAAAGAGGAGCGTTCCAGGTTGTTCCGTGATAAGGGCCCTTTAAGGGGTCGTATGTATTTTGAGTATGAATGGCAGATGAAAAGCCCTGTTTGGTCTGTAGAGGCTCCTAATGGGAGGATTTAGGAAAACAATGGACGTCTGTTGGGACTGTTTGCGTGTCCTGTTTTGCCCGGCCTCAACCTGAGAACACTCTCCCTTTCACACACACGCCCTCTAGAATGGAAAACAGATGTGTTGAAGGGTTTTAATTGTCGGGTAGAACAATGGAGGGGGAGAGAGACAGAGAGACAGACAGAGAGGGAGAGAGAGAGAGAGAGAGAAATTATGCTCTAAATGCACTCGGAGCTGTGAGGGTTTCCTTTTAGCACCGTGTAAAAGCAGAATGGGCTCTTTTAAAGCGACAGTTCAGTCAAAAATCTCATATACTCAGTTTCCCCCCTTAAACCAAATGTAGTCGATCAGCAGAGACATGTTTGGTGTCTGAAGTTTGCTTCCTTAATTTTAGCACTGCAGCTTTGAGGCTAATGTAGCAGTTTAGCCCCACCCACTCAGCCTACACTAGTTTAGCCCCACCCATTCAGCCTACACTAGTTTAGCCCCACCCATTCAGCCTACACTAGTTTAGCCCCACCCACTCAGTCTACAGCAGTTTAGCTCCACCATTCAGCTACAGCAGTTTAGCCCCACCATTCAGCTACAGCAGTTTAGCCCCACCATTCAGCTACAGCAGTTTAGCTCCACCATTCAGCTACAGCAGTTTAGCTCCACCATTCAGCTACAGCAGTTTAGCTCCACCATTCAGTCTACAGCAGTTTAGCTCCACCATTCAGCTACAGCAGTTTAGCCCCACCATTCAGTCTACAGCAGTTTAGCTCCACCATTCAGTCTACAGCAGTTTAGCCCCACCATTCAGTCTACAGCAGTTTAGCTCCACCATTCAGCTACAGCAGTTTAGCTCCACCATTCAGCTACAGCAGTTTAGCCCCACCATTCAGCTACAGCAGTTTAGCTCCACCATTCAGCTACAGCAGTTTAGCCCCACCATTCAGCTACAGCAGTTTAGCTCCACCATTCAGTCTACAGCAGTTTAGCCCCACCATTCAGTCTACAGCAGTTTAGCTCCCACCATTCAGTCTACAGCAGTTTAGCTCCACCATTCAGCTACAGCAGTTTAGCCCCACCATTCAGTCTACAGCAGTTTAGCCCCACCATTCAGCTACAGCAGTTTAGCTCCACCATTCAGTCTACAGCAGTTTAGCTCCACCATTCAGTCTACAGCAGTTTAGCCCCACCCATTCAGTCTACAGCAGTTTAGCTCCACCATTCAGTCTACAGCAGTTTAGCCCCACCATTCAGTCTACAGCAGTTTAGCCCCACCATTCAGTCTACAGCAGTTTAGCTCCACCATTCAGCTACAGCAGTTTAGCTCCACCCATTCAGTCTACAGCAGTTTAGCTCCACCATTCAGCTACAGCAGTTTAGCTCCACCATTCAGCTACAGCAGTTTAGCCCCACCATTCAGCTACAGCAGTTTAGCTCCACCATTCAGCTACAGCAGTTTAGCTCCACCATTCAGCTACAGCAGTTTAGCCCCACTTCTTAAAGGCACAGTGATAAAATCAGCCTGTTCAAATGATCATGTTAAAATAAACTCTGACTGTTGTTTTGGGTGCATAAAACTACAAAAGCTTCAAAAGAGGAAGGAAAATATCAAAATGCATGAAAAATGTGCTCTATGGGCTCTTTAAATGTTGAGCTTCTCTTCAGTGCCTGTTGTGAATGTTGTCAAAATGAGCGTATTTCGGGTGTTCGTTTGTGAAGCACGTATAAAATAAAATAAAATTAATTTTAATCAGAAGTTAGTAGACGTGTACGTAGCTCTAATGCCCTGCTGTGTTTTTGTAGGTATATGGTCGACCCCAGGAAGAAACCAGCTATTCCCATCAAACCTCCATTCCTCCGACCTGCACTGTCCGACCGGAACGTCACCGTCAAACTCAGTGACAACGGAGTCCACGGCAGCATCCTAAGAACAAAAGTGAGTATTTACAGTCTGACGGTAATAATTGTGGAGCGATTTTAATCCAGTATGAATCTGCAGTGTGTAGTTTTTACAGTCTGACAGTAATAATTGTGGAGTGATTTTAATCCAGTATGAATCTGCAGTGTGTGTAGTTTTACAGTAATAATTGTGGAGCGATTTTAATCCAGTATGAATCTGCAGTGTGTGTAGTTTTACAGTAATAATTGTGGAGCGATTTTAATCCAGTATGAATCTGCAGTGTGTAGTTTTACAGTCTGACAGTAATAATTGTGGAGCGATTTTAATCCAGTATGGATCTGCAGTGTGTGTAGTTTTACAGTCTGACGGTAATAATTGTGGAGCGATTTTAATCCAGTATGAATCTGCAGTGTGTGTAGTTTTTACAGTCTGACTGTAATAATTGTGGAGTGATTTTAATCCAGTATGAATCTGCAGTGTGTGTAGTTTTTACAGTCTGACAGTAATAATTGTGGAGTGATTTTAATCCAGTATGAATCTGCAGTGTGTGTAGTTTTACAGCCTGACAGTAATAATTGTGGAGCGATTTTAATCCAGTATGAATCTGCAGTGTGTGTAGTTTTACAGTCTGACAGTAATAATTGTGGAGCGATTTTAATCCAGTATGAATCTGCAGTGTGTGTAGTTTTTACAGTCTGACTGTAATAATTGTGGAGCGATTTTAATCCAGTATGAATCTGCAGTGTGTGTAGTTTTACAGTAATAATTGTGGAGTGATTTTAATCCAGTATGAATCTGCAGTGTGTAGTTTTTACAGTCTGACAGTAATAATTGTGGAGTGATTTTAATCCAGTATGAATCTGCAGTGTGTGTAGTTTTTACAGTCTGACTGTAATAATTGTGGAGCGATTTTAATCCAGTATGAATCTGCAGTGTGTGTAGTTTTACAGTAATAATTGTGGAGTGATTTTAATCCAGTATGAATCTGCAGTGTGTAGTTTTTACAGTCTGACAGTAATAATTGTGGAGTGATTTTAATCCAGTATGAATCTGCAGTGTGTAGTTTTTACAGTCTGACAGTAATAATTGTGGAGTGATTTTAATCCAGTATGAATCTGCAGTGTGTGTAGTTTTACAGTAATAATTGTGGAGCGATTTTAATCCAGTATGAATCTGCAGTGTGTGTAGTTTTACAGTCTGACAGTAATAATTGTGGAGTGATTTTAATCCAGTATGAATCTGCAGTGTGTGTAGTTTTTACAGTCTGACAGTAATAATTGTGGAGTGATTTTAATCCAGTATGAATCTGCAGTGTGTGTAGTTTTTTGTTTCAGTGTAGTTTAGTTGTAGTGATGTAATAAAAGCGATTGATTGAATGTGAACGCAGTGACTGTGTTTCTCTTTCAGTCTAAGATCAGTCTGGACGGCCTCGGGGAGAAGAATACGGACACCCAGCCGCCTCTTCCTCCCAAAGCTGAGCGCCATAACCAGCTTCAGAGCCAGCTCACATCCAGCGAAGGCAAGCAGCTCCAACACGGCCTCAGTTACCGTTATTATTAACGTCACACAAAAATAACACATGCAGACATCATAGCGTTACACTCAGAGCTCCACTCAAACTGGCCCTGGAGAGTTCTTTGGTCAGAACAACAACCGTAAACATAGTCGTCCATAACGGTTCTGAAACCCTTTTATCAGTTAACCTTTTAACTGCCTCCCCATTTGTACCTGTAACAGCGTAGCCAAGGTAAAAGGGGGCGCTGTTCCCACCTACTTCGGCCTACGGTCATGATCTGACTCAAATACACACCTAAAGATGGTTCTTCACGGGTTCTTTAGTAAAGAAAATGATTCTATATAGAGCCTTTTTGAAATGGGTTCTATGAAGCACTAAAAAGGGTTCATCTGTTGTTACGAGCTTGACGTCGTAGCAATAGCAGAACCCTTATGGTACTATATAGAACCCTTTTTAAAAAGGTTTTATATAGAACCATCTACGACACACTCTCCATCAGTCTGGAGAACCGTTTCATGATACAAAGAACCTTTTAATCATGCCAAAGCTTCTTTGAGTGTTAATGGAACCCTTTAAGAGTGTGAATCACCTGATTCACAGAGCTCCTCATGATGGAACTGGACAGACAGGAAGTGACCAGAATTAGACCTTATTGATCCCCAAAAGACATCCAACTTAATTATTGAGCCCCCAGCATTGGGCTGTGGAGCAGTGGAACTGGGTTCTCTGGAGTGATGGAGCTCCATCCAATACCTTTGGGATGAGTTAGTGGTCCACAACATCAGTACCTGACCTCACTAATGCTCAATCAAATCCTTACAGCAATGTTCCAATATCTAGAGCCTTCCCAGAAGAGTAGAGGCTGTTACTGAGGCACTGACTCACTATTAACACCTTCATTTCAGAGGAAACGCTGGAGGAGCGCTGAGATGTTGAGCAGCAGTCGCAACGTCAAAGATTGTTTGTTGTTATGCAGCTCATCTTTCGTGTGTTGCTGTTATTATTATTATTATTATTATTATTATTATTATTATCATGCAGTCTGATCTGAATATGTAGTAAAACCCATATTGCTCATGATTCGCCGTTAGATTGTGACTTTCCTTCGTTTCACTGCAGAATCATGAGTCATATTGTTATTCCTCTTTTAAATCCGTTCTGCTGCTGCCCTCTGGTGGTGAGTTATGATGCAGCATCCTTTCACTATTCAACCTGATTCATGTCCTTTTCACGCTTTCCAGAGAGTTCTCTCTCCAGCAAGCCCACCAACCCCCCCACCCCGGCCATGTACAGATACAGACCCTCCTTCGGCACCATACCGAAAGTGCATTACCACGCGACAGGGAGAGAAGGTGAGAGCGGCGCTGTAATTAACCCTGAATGCGGCTCAGGTTGCTCACGTTTAAAAACAGCTCCTTCTTTTTAGAACCAGTTACCTTTACGTTTCATCACAGATGGACCAATAGAAACCGTCCAGTATTAATATGAATAAAGTGCTGTGTGTTGTTACAATAATATGCACTGAATTTGTTAATATTGTTTTTCATTATATCTATGAATGTGTATATATGCATACAAGCTTTTGGTATGAAACAATAACAATATTCTGAAGTGTCTTTACTTTATAAGCGATATCTGATGCATGTTGTCCATATGTTGTACTTGTTTACTAATTTTATCATATATATTGTCCATCATGTTTGTTTTTATGTATGTGAACTGCTAATATTTTGTTTATTTTGAATGGTTTATGAAAATTATGAGCATTGTCCCATAAATATTAATTTAATATGTTTATATTAATATATCAGGTACAAAAAGTTCTTGTCTCAGTTCTCTTCTCCTCCTTTTTCTCTTCTTGTCTTCTATCCTGTTCACTCTGCTTTTTATTCTCTTCTCCTCCTTTCGCTCTTCACTTCTCCTCTCCTCCCTTACTCTCTTCTCTTCTCTTCTCTTCTCTTCTCTTCTCTTCTCCTCTCTTCTCCTCTCTTCTCTTCTCCTCTCTTCTCCTCTCTTCTCTTCTCCTCTCTTCTCCTCTCTTCTCCTCTCTTCTCTTCTCCTCTCTTCTCGTTGGTGATCTCTTCTCTTCTCCTCTCTTCTCCTCTCTTCTCTTCTCCTCTCTTCTCGTTGGTGATCTCTTCTCCTCTCCTCTCTTCTCCTCTCTTCTCTTCTCTTCTCTTCTCTTCTCGTTGGTGATCTCTTCTCTTCTCCTCTCTTCTCCTCTCTTCTCTTCTCTTCTCTTCTCGTTGGTGATCTCTTCTCTTCTCCTCTCTTCTCCTCTCTTCTCTTCTCTTCTCTTCTCCTCTCCTCTCTTCTCCTCTCTTCTCTTCTCTTCTCGTTGGTGATCTCTTCTCTTCTCCTCTCTTCTCCTCTCTTCTCTTCTCTTCTTTTCTCTTCCTTTCTCATCGGTGATCTCTTCTCTTCTCTTTTTGTTGGTAATCTCTTCTCTTCTTTTCTTGTCGGTGATCTCTTCTCTTCTTTTCAATCATCTTCTCTCTCATCTCCTCTTGTCTTCACTTCTCTTTTCCTCCCTTGCTGTCCTCCCTTCTTTTTGATCGTCCTTTCTCTCTTCTTCTTTTCTCCTCTTCTTTTCTCTTCACCTCTCTTCTCTTCTCTTTCTTCTCCCTTGTCTCCGCTTGTCTTCACTTCTCTTTTCCTCCCTAACTCTCTTCTCTTCTCTTCTCTTCTCTTCCATTACACTCTTCCCTTCTCTTCAGTCATTCTCTCTCTCCTTCTTTTTCTTCTTTTCTATCATCTTTTCTCTTCTTGTCTTCTCTCTTCTCTTCTCTTCCCTTTTTCTCTCTTTTTCTTGTCTCTTCTTAGCTGTCCCCTTCTCCTCTTCTCTTCTCTTCTCTTCTCTTCTCTTCTCTTCTCTTCTCTTCTCTTCCAATTTCAGACAAATTATTAATACATGCAGTCACATTTACCTGTAAAGTGAATCTGATTGTGAATCTTCTCGTCTCTTTTCTCGTTGCTCCTCCTCAGATTATGATGTCAGACAACTCCAAATCGTCTGCGATCTTGGAGGAAAGAGGTCACGACTACCGCTCTGAGCCCAACCTGGACCTGCCGGATTACGGCGCCGCTCCGCTTCACCGCACCTTCCAGTCATCTCCGTTCCAGCTGGATTCGATCAGCACCACCCCGCGCTCCCTCAGCCTCAAACAGGGCGGCCGTAGACCTGAGCACTCGCCACTAGGGGGCAGCAAACCCGACCCGGTCATCTCCACGCCACACAGGGGCGTGTTTTCACCTGGGACTCTTTCAAACCGCAATGGGAGCTTATCCTATGACAGCCTGCTGACTCCCAGTATAGCGCCCTCTGCTGGCGAGTGCACGGCACATCCAGGTGTGCCAACCATGGGTTTCCATTCACCTTTTTTGCCCACGAAAATGTGCCATGTGCGTGGGCCTGAACTGCAAGGCCAATCCATAGTGTCCCCTTATAGCCCCGTTCGCACCGGGCTAATATACGGGCGCCATTCGCCTCACCTGAGAGAAAGAGAGCAAGAGAGAGAGAGAGAGAGAGATCCGTCACCCGTCCGCTACGACAATCTCTCCAAAACCATCATGGCGTCCATCCAAGAGAGGAAGGAATTGGAAGCAAGAGAAAAGCTCATAAGCCGCCACGCCCAGGCTAACTACGCTAACGATTCGGGCGTTTTCGACGGGTGTAGCCGAGTCCCACCTGGACCATGTTACCCTGACGGGCAAAGGGGGCCCGGGTCCAGAGGGTACGGCTCCCGTGACAACCTAATAGGGGCCGGATTGGTGGGGTACACCCCCCGGACCCCCGTGCTGCGTTCCTCAGCGTCCTCATTAGTCCGAGCCCCCAGGACTTCCACTACCTCCCTCCACACGGACGCAGGGGGAGGGGGGAACCACCAGTATCGCTCTCCGGCCCACCAACCCCACCATTCTCCAACGGCTGTACCCAGATCTCCATCCTACTCCCACCAGAAGGTCTCCTTCATCAGCTCCCGGGAAAGAGCCGAGTCTCCACACTTAGGAACGAGGTACGAAAGACAGAAGCCTCAGTGTCTGAGTAACTCATATGTACCTACCTTATATGTATATGCACTGGCCATTTTATCAGAAACACCCAGTATAGGTGCAGTTTGTTTACAGCTATAGACTGTAGGCCATCTGTTACTGTATCAGCCCCATCTAGCATCAGTGAACAGAGACCACCAGAGAACCACTGCTGACCAGATATTATTTGGGTGGTGGTCAGTTCAGCACAGCACTGATACTGACCTGGTCTCTGAGGTGCGAATCCAAATCGAGTCTCGAGTCTCTGCGGTGTGAGTCAGAGTCAAATCTTGAGTCTCTTGATTGTGAGTGTGAGTCGAGTATCAAAATGTCTGAGGTGTGATTCGAGTCTCTGAGGTGTGAGTCCAAGTTGAGTCTAGACTCTCTGAGGTGTGAGTCCGAGGCGAGTCTCAAGTCTCTGAGTTGCGAGTCTGAGTCAAATATTGAGTCTCTGAGGTGCAAGTCTGAGTCAAGTCTCAAGTGTCTCAGGTCAGAGTCTGAGTTGAGTCTCTAGTCTCTAAGATTTGAGTCCGAGTCAAATCTCAAGTCCCTGAGTTGCGAGTCTGAGTCGAGTATCGAGTCTCTGGGTTGCAAGTCTGAGTCGAATCTCGAGTCTCTGAGGTACAAGTCTGAGTCGAGTCTCAAGTCTCTGAGGTACAAGTCTGAGTTGAGTCTCAAGTCTCTGAGTAGCGAGTCTAAGTCAATTATTGAGTCTTTGATGTGCAAGTCTGAGTCGAGTCTCAAGTGTCTGAAGTGTGAGCCTGAGTCGAGTATCGAGTCTCTGAGGTGCGAGTCTGAGTCAAGTCTCTTAAGTGTGAGTTTGAGTCAAGTCTGAAGTCTCTGAGTTACAAGTCTGGGTCGGGTCTCAAGTCTCTGAGGTGTGATTCTGAGTCTAGTCTCAAATTTCTGAGGTGAGTCCGAGTCATGTCTCGAGTCTCTGAGGCGCAAACCTGATTTGAGTCTCTGAGGTGTGAGTCAGAGTCAAGTCTTGAGTCTGTGCGTTGTGAGTCACATCTCAAATCTCTCAGGTGCGAGTCTGAGTTGAGCCTGAAGTCTCTGAGATTTGAGTCAGAGCCAAATCTCAAGTCTCTGAGGTGCGAGTTCAAGTCTGTGTCTCAAGTCTCTGTGGTGCGAGCCTGAGGCGAGTATCGAGCACCGAGTCTTTGAGGTGCGAGTCTCAGGCAAGCCTCAAGTCTGTGTTGTGAGTCTGTGTCGTGTCTCGAGTCTCTGAGATGTGAATCTGAGTCGAATCTCGAGTCTCTGAGGTTCGAGTCAGAGTAGATATTAATCTTGATATTACTTATCATCATATGAACAATAACCTTTCACATTTCTCCGTCATTTGTTTCCTGTTTTGTAGAGAGGACCTGAGTCACGGTAAAGTCAACGGGCAGCCCAAAGGCCAGACGCGAGACTGCCACCTCGGGGCGCCCTCCGGAACTGCGCTCAGCCCCAGCAGACATACCAACGTCAAAAAGGTGACGGGAGTGGGCGGGACTACCTATGAGATTTCAGTGTGATGGAGTAACCAATCCCTGTGTGAAGAAGCACTGCCATGGCGACCGACGACAGCGACAGCAACAACAACAATGTCTGTGCAAAAAGTGAAAACTTCTCTTTTTACGCTGATGTTAAAGAACACTGTAACCGACCAATCACAGCCTTTCTCACGCGGGACTGCTGGTCCAATCAGAGAAGGTTTTTTCACTGTGCCTGTCTCTGCCCTTTTGGTGACTGAAGGGATGGGTGGAAACGTTACTGCGTGTATGTTTGTGTGTGTTTGTGTGTCAAATGTTTATGATCAGGAGTTTTAAAGGGAAACTTAATCGCTTTCCGACCTGATCTCTGTCTGCTTCGTCTGTAAGCGGATGGACGATTAGTCAATAATAATCTTAATACATTTCCCTGAATTCATAAACGAAAAGAAAAAACACTGAGTTGAAACTCGGTGACAGTAGAAGTCAAAGGGCAGCTCTGAATTATGTGAGTAAACGTTTGAAATGTGTGACTCAATGACTCCAGTCATTCTCCTCTACAGTACAGCTGGCAGATACAGTACAAATGCGTCTCAGTGAGAGCAACGATGCACATCTAGATCAAGTACAGTTTTACTTGCATGAATTTATTGAAATAAAACATGATTTAAACTTCATTTATGACTATCACATTTGGTAACTCTTCACAAACCAGTGTCGATCTCTAATAATTAATAATTACAGTTTTAGTTTGGACCATAAATGTCAAAACCTGGTCAAAAACAATAATAAGTTCTGCTGGCTCCCCTATGGGAGTTCTAGTTCTATGTTAACGCTAACAGTAATTTACAGTAATTCTTTTGGCCGTTCTAGATTTAACACAGACGTTTGATGTAAAGCTTACAAACATTGTATGTTTTATCTTTCCATTTCAACAACGGACTAAATCTTGTTAGACTATGTTTCGCATTCACAGTCAGTGACGTATCTAGAACCTTCACATTTCCTCTTGAAATAGGTCCCAAAGTGTGATTGGTTGATTACTCTGCTTCCTAATGGTGCTGGTAGTTAATCTAACATGTAAGGCCTTTAGTCCATCTCTTAGTGCTGACCAATAGGAGATCAGCTTGGCTGTATTTACCTAGAAACCACAGAGATATCAATTCTGATTGGACAGGACCTTTTTTAACACAAAAAAAGCATTGCTCCCTGGAGACCAATAATGAAGCGTCATCTGAACACCACTTTGTCTCAGTGAGAGCAGCGATAAACATCACGATCAAGTACAGTTTTACTTGTATAAATTTAATGGAATAAAACTTTAAACATCATTTTTGTATTTATTTAATTCTTCACAAACCAGTGGTGAACTGTAACAATTATTACTTATAGTAAGTCGTAATATTTGGAGGATAAAGTGGGCTAACTGTAGGGGGGCTAACTGTAGGGGGGCTGCCATAACGCATTGGGGTCTCGGTTGCTGTACTGTAGGGGGGCTGCCATAACGCGTTGGGGTCTCGGTTGCTGTACTGTAGGGGGCTGCCATAACGCGTTGGGGTCTCGGTTGCTGTACTGGCACCGGAGTTCCACTCACTCCTGTCTCTCTGTGGATCATTTAGATCATCATTCTCACTGTCTGTGAAACTTTTTTTCTCGAAATATTGTGACTTTTTTCACTAAATATTACATCTTTTTTCCTCAAAATATTACGAGTTTATTTGCGAAATATTACGACTCTTTTCTTGAAATATTACGAATTTATTCTCTAAATATTACGACTTTTTTCTGGAAATATTTCGTCTTTATTCTCGAAATCTGCTATTTTTAGTTTTATTCACAGTGGCCCTAAACCGCCGTCGTAGTTCTGGTATCCGTGTCGATCATGGAGAACCTGTGGTAATTCTGCTCACAACACAGCGCTGGAGAAATTCTTCCCTCTGGAAAACCAGTTCCACCACTGAAAGAACCAGTTATACCGATTTACAGCTTCATTTACAAACCAGTCACTAACAGAATTCAGCATCTGCCCATTGAGGTCTCTTATAAGTGAGTTCAGAGTCGGGTTTTCTGTTCTGTTCTAAGTTCAGGGAAACGTTTGGAGATCATCGTCTGTGGTGATCAAGCCTGTGGTAGAGATGCAGCAGACAGAGATCAGGTTGAAAAACTGTGACGTTGTCCTTTATGTGTCGGTCAGAAGAGGATTGCCAGCTGGCCTTACTGTGTCCCTTTATTCAGATATCATAACACAACATTATGGGTTAAAAAAAACTATAAAGCATCAAGTTTAAATGAAAAGGGCTGAATATTCCTAGTGTCAGTGTATTAATATCTCTAATCCACTGAAAAGGTGCTCAGTTATGCTCTGTGTGTAACTGATTTCTCTGCCATCATGAATGTGTAAAAACTACCTTCCAGTATCAACATAACCGTCAACAACTGTCACAGTCCTTCTTCTTTCTGCACTTCTGTTTTTTAGCCTGTAGGTGGTGCTGCTGTAAATCTAAAGTCTAACAAAATGACTTAAAAATGGCTGGAATTTTGTTTCACTAAAATAATTCCAAATATTTAATATTTGATACACATTTATTATTTACAATTATTATTATTGTTATTATTTTTACTATTATTATTATTATTATTACTCTCAATTAAATTGAGAATTGACTGCACACTATTAACTAATATTAACCATAATTATAATAAACTTCAACAAAATATGACTATAGCCACAATTACCATGAATTTATAACTAATACTAACATTAAAATTTGTTATACATTACTTCTTCATATTATTAGTAGTATTATTGTCATTATTAAAAATTAAGGCTGTACTGTTATGATTGTAATCTTAATAATAGTAGTAATAATAATAATAATAATAATAAACATCAATTATAGTTTGACTGCAGCCTCGATTGTAAATATATAACAAATATTAATATTTTATACGTATTTGTTATATATTTATTGAGTAATTCGTCCTCCTCTTCTTACTATTATTATTATTATTACTACAATTAATATGAATATTAAAATTCCAGCAATTCTAAGGTTGCAGTAGTTTTCTGAGTCTGATTAAGTGAGATTTACTTCAGCAGCAGCTACAAAGTTTACTGTATCCAGATCAAACAGTTTATCCAGATAAAGCCGTTATGACCAATAAGTGCAGGGCTGCGTGATACGGACAGAAATATCAGTATTGTGAATATATTGCTGCATATTGCAAATGTAATATGCCTTACAATATATTAAAAATATAATAATAATAATAATAATGATAATAATGAATTGAGTCAGCTTTATTTTGACCAAGATAATTTCCTCATATTGGATTACCTACACATCTGTGATTGGTCAGGAGTGCTCATTTGCATAACTGATATTAGTATTGCAGAAGCTAATTATGTGATAGCTATATATAAACGATATGTGGTGCAGGCTGAAGCACCTGTGGCAGGTGAAGCGCACCTGTATCAGCAGGTGCCGGGTCTCCACCTCACAGTCAGAATGATTGCAGCCAACTCTCAGAAACATCCAGGTTTCTGCTTGTTGTTTTTTTTTCTATTTATCACAGTGAAACTGACACATCTACTGTATATTTGGCCTGTCTAGGCTCCGCCCACAAACAAGCTCGGACAGGCGGTTCACGGCTTCACCACATAAACGAATCGTTATCTTTTTTTTCTTATCTTTGACTCCTTTTTTATACCCAATATTTGAGTTGTTTGATACATTTCACTTTTTTATACAGGTATTCAAATCTGGGGTGGATGTTTGTATTTTGAGTGGATTTTGTCATAATTTATAATTTATACATCTAAATTAATTAGCATTCGTTGCCATTTTTTTGTCTTTTGTAGTTTGCATCTGGTTATTTCAGCATGAGGACAGAATGTGGGAAGAAGAATGTTTTTCGCAAGCCTTGCTTTAAAGGACAGTTTCACCAAATTTGAAAAATTTCTGCATAATTAAACGGTTTAGATGTAAACAAAGTCGTTCAGAGTGGTTTGGTGTGAAACGCTCCATTCTAGAAAAACTTAGTCAGAACTGTTTATAGGGATGGTGATAGGAACCAGATGTCCTCCTCTGAAAGCTCCCTCCCATGAAATGGTTATGAATATGCTGCCTGAGATAATAGTTTTGAGAAGATGGACTTTTTTATTCATTCATGGTGGAGGGATACATAATATGCAGGGCGCTGTGAGGCAAAATAGTCACTTCTTATTTCATAATTTCCGCTATTTTCCATCATCAACATTCCATATAAACTCTGAAGACTCGTGTAGGTTCACTGGTGGTTTTGGATAGTAAGTAAAATGTCTATATTTGTGTTGTAGTCATGGCGACCGCTGGTTCCTATCACCACCACTGTAAAGATCTGAACCATTTCACACCAAACCACTTTGAATCACTCTGTTTACACTGAATTGTAAGGAAATTTTGAAAAATATAGGTGGAATTGCCCTTTAAGAGGAGCCATCAGAGTGAATGAAAACTGCCTTGTTTAGTGTAATGCTGGATTTGTACAGAGGAATTAATCTGCTGTCAAATTGGAGCACATCAGCCTTTCTTATTGTTTGTTTTTCTGCTTATTGTTTCATGCATTTTGGTGCAAACTTTTTATATATAATAGATAAAACTCAGCGTTTAAGTTACTGTGCTTTACTGTAGTTACTTACGAAAACCATCAGGGGGCTTAGGTCATATTTGATCTTGTATAACATTTATTTAATAATACTTTCACATATATATATATATACACCGATCAGTCATAACATACTGACCACCTCCTTGTTTCTATGCTCATTGTCCATTTTATCAGCTCCACTTACTATATAGGTGCACTTTGTAGTTCTACAGTTACAGACTGTAGTCCATCTGTTTCTCTGATACTTTGTTAGCCCCCTTTTACCCTGTTCTTCAGTGGTCAGGACCCCCATGGACCCTCACAGAGCAGGTACTATTTGGGTGGTGGATCATTCTCAGCACTGCAGTAACACTGACGTGGTGGTGGTGTGTTAGTGTGTGTTGTGCTGGTCTGAGTGGATCAGACACAGCAGTGCTGCTGGAGTTTTTAAACACCTCAGTGTCACTGCTGGACTGAGAATAGTCCACCAACCAAAATATCCAGCCAACAGCGTCCTGTGGGCAGCGTCCTGTGACCACTGATGAAGGACTAGAGGATGACCAACACAAACTGTGCAGCAGCAGATGAGCTATCGTCTCTGACTTCACATCTACAAGGTGGACCGACAAGGTAGGAGTGTCTAATAGAGTGGACAGTGAGTGGACACAGTGTTTAAAAACACCAGCAGCACTGCTGTGTCTGATCCACTCAGACCAGCACAACACACACTAACACACCACCACCACGTCAGTGTTACTGCAGTGCTGAGAATGATCCACCACCCAAATAGTACCTGCTCTGTGAGGGTCCATGGGGGTCCTGACCACTGAAGAACAGGGTAAAAGGGGGCTAACAAAGTA